GGAGTTATTTAGGGCAATGCGGGGTCAGTTAAGTTTCAGATAGTTCCTCGTTCCAGCTTATACTTTTTCTCAAGGTCTATAGGCCCCTTCCAATGCTTAGTCAATGTTAATTACAGGGTTTTAATCTGTTGCACCTGTCACTTCCAGAGTGGTTCCCTCTTCTTGTTTATTTTGGTTTCCTCTGTTTGCAAGTCTCTTCAGTGCCTAATTTCGGCCCTGACTCAAGGGGGTGAAGGTGGTCACTTATTTAGGTTCACTTGTTCAGTTGTGCTGTGGGAAGGGAGGGACACTGCAAACAAATATCTCTGGCGTGTGTGGGGAGAGTTTGCAGTGTATGGGCCGCACTGGATTTGCCCCAGCTCACACGGTGTGTGCTTTCCCAGTCTACACTGCTGAAGCTCCAGGTTGCTCTGCAGGGGAACTGTCCAAAGCGGGCCCTGGGTTGTGTGCACTTCCCAGGTCTAAGCGGCTCAGGTTCGGGTTCTCAGGCACTCCACAAAGGCACAGACTCAGTTGCGCCTGTTCTTTATGCCCTGCCCAGGTCCGAGCAGCTCAGGCAACCGGGTGCTTGGCGAGTGCACTGTCCCAGGGGAGACGTGAGTCTTATCAACTCCCTGGTCCTCGCAGCTTGATTTCTCGGTGCACCACAAGAGTGCCATCTCAGGTGTGCCATGTGTCTCCTCTGGGGAGCTGATCTCTGGCTGCGACCCTCCTGGAAGACGTCAACCATCCAGGATCCCAGGAAGACTTAATTAGCAAGTTAGCTAACCAAGGAAGTTAGCAAGTTAGCAAGGAAGACTTGGTTAGCAGGGAGACTGCTCATAGTTTGGTGGAGGATGCCATCTCTGGGGCCAAATTGCCCCTTGCCTTCCGTCTCTGGCTGTCCCATGCCTGCCTCTGCCTCTGGCGGAGGTATGGGCCAGTCTGCAGCTGGCTAGCTCTCCTCTGGTATTTGCTCCATGCTTTGTTCTGTGAGTGGGCCAGGCTGTGCCTTGGTTAGAGCTTTTCACGGGAAAGTTCTCTCTCTCTGTCTTTTTTTTTTTTTCTCTCTCTCTGGCTGTCCCACAGTTTCGGTTGCTATCTCATGTTAGCTCCCTCAGATTGTCCTCAGGGCATTCAGGCCTGGACATCACCCTAAGCATGCAACCTGCACCTCCTGTCCAGCCCCTGCTTGCTGGTGGCGGATGCAAGTGTCTGGGCTCCTTCTCAGCTGGGGGTTGTGGTTAGGTGCCTATTTTGTGGGTTTTTTCTTTTTTTTTCTCCTGGTTATGTTGCCCTCTGAGATTCCAAAACTCCCCACAGGCCCACAGGTGAGAGGGTTTCCTGCTGTTTGGAAACTTCCCCTCCTTCATGACTCCCTCCCTGGGACAGGTCTCCATCCCTGACTCTTGTGTCTCTTTTGTCTTTTATATTTTGTCTTACCTCCTTTTTGAAGAGAATGGACCTCCTTTTGGGGTGCCTGGCGTCCCCCGCCAGCATTCATAAGTTGTTTTGTGGAGGTTGCTCAGCACTCAAATAATCTTTTGATGAATTTGTGGGGGAGAAAGTGGTCTCCCTGTCCTATTCCTCTGACATCCTAGGACTGATACTACACTCCAGTATTCTTGCCTGGAGAATCCCAAGGACAGAGGAGCCTGGCAGGCTACAGTCCATAGGGTTGCACAGAGCTGGACATGACTGAAAATATGCACACACACACACACAAAGATTTATACACGGCCACTAATAGCAACTTCTCATATAGCAGCTCAAATGGAAAACAACTTTGTCTATCAAGAGATGCCTGCATGAACTATTTCCATACATTGGAATATTGCTCAGCAATAAAAAAGAGTGTATTACTGACATGTGCAGCAAACAAAGAAACAAAACCCTAAGTATTGTGCTGAGTGAAAGACACCAGACTCAATATAATTTTCTGTCATTTCATGTATCTGAAGCTCAAGAACTGGCAAATATAGTCTCTTCTGGTAAAAACCAGTACAGTGACTGCCTTGTGAAGCCAAAGCTAGACTGGGCCAGATCATGAAAGGGCTTTCAGGATACCAGGATGCTCTGTGTCTTGATTCAGACCACAGTTAGGTGAATGCATACATCTGTCAAAGTTAAAGGTACACTTAAGATTTGTGCATTTGCTGCATGTAAAATGAAAACTTACCATGCTCCCAGATGCATGTTTAAATGAACTCAGAAACCTGGTTGTCAGAAGGAAATTTATAAAGCAAATAACTTCTTTGGTTTGTCAGACACATAAGGCTGGAGCATGCATATTTATTAAAGTTGGGTTCACCTGCAGAGGATGGGATATTTGCATAATCACCTCCAGATCTTTCCTTTCTAGGTGAATTTTCAAAAGGGCACATGTTGGTGGAGTGAGCTGTAGCACTTGGGATGGAAGGGGATTTAATATTCATTTCTACTTGGTGTAGAAATGAGTGAGGCTCTGGCTCCCAGATTCTCAGGCCAACTCTCCCTGGTGCTGAGACTGCCAGAAGTTCACTTGGGCCTCTAGGACCAATCTGAACTGAGGCTGAAGAACCCAGGGTATCCAGTCCTACTCAACATCCAACCTTTCCTGTGACTCTCTGGGTCCCACAGTTGATAGTGGAAGCCTCACCTCATTCCCTCTGTGTGTCCTTGGGATAATAATAATAAGAGTTTAATAATAATAATGGCTTCCCTGGTGGCTCAATAGTAAAGAATCCGCCTGCCAAGCAGGAGACATGGCTTGGATCCCTAGGTCAGGAAGATCCCCTGAAGAAGGAAATTCAACCCATTTCAGTATTCTTACCTTGGAAATCCCATGGACAGAGGAGCCTGCCAGACTGAGTCCAAGGGATTGCAAAGAATTGGACATGCGGGGCGATCCTAAGATGGCAGAGGAATAGGATGGGGAAACCACTTTCTCCTCCACAAATTCATCGAAAGATCATTTGAACACTGAGAAAATACCACAAAACAACTTCTGAATGCTGGCGGAGGACACCAGGCACTCAGAAAGGCAGCCCATTGTCTTTGAAAGGGGTAGGACAAAATATAAAATATAAAAAGACAGACAAAAGAGTTAGGGATGGAGACCCATCCTGGGGAGGGAGTTGTAAAAGAGAAATTTCCAAACAGCAGGAAATCCTCTCACTGGAGGGTCTATGGGGAGTTTTGGAATCTCAAAGGGCAACATAACAGGGAGGAAAAAATAAATAAATAAAACCCACAGATTATGCACCTAATTGCAACTCCCAGTGAAGAAGTAGCCCAGACACTCGCGTCTACCACCAGCAAGCAGGGGCTGGACAGGGAGGTGTGAGCTGCATTGTTTGGGGTAAGGACTGGGCCTGAATGCCCTGAAGGCAATCTGAGGGAAATAACATGAGATAGCAACCCAAATTGTGGGATAGCCAGAGAGAGAAATTTAAAAAAAAGAGGAAAGAGAGAGAACTTTCCTGTGAAAAGCTCTAACCTAAGGCACTGCTGGGCCGCTCACAGAACAAAGGACTGAGAGAATATCAGAGGAGAGCTAGCCAGCAGCAGACCAGACCACCCCCTGCTGGAGGCAGAGAGGTAGATGGGACAGCCAGAGCCGGAAGGCAAGGGGCAATCTCTGCCCCAGACATGGCATCCTCCATCAAAGTGAGCAGTCTCCCAGTTGCTAACCAAGTCTTCCTGGGATCCTGGACAGTTGACATCTACCAGGAGGGTCACAGCCAGAGATCAGCTCCCCCGAGGAGACACATGGCACACCTGAGACAGCACTCCCACTGCACACCCAGGAAACCAAGAGGCTGGGACCGGGAAGGTGATAAGATGCATTGCCCACGTGGAGAGAGTGCACGTGCCAAGCACCTGGTCGCCTGAGTTGCTTAGACCTGGGCAGGGCACAAAACGCAGGCCCAACCGAGTTTGTGCCTTTGTGGAGTACCCAAGAACCTGAACCTGAGCAGCTTAGGCCTGGGAAGTGCATGCAACCCAGGGCCCGCTTTAGACAGTTCCCCTGCAGAGCAACCTGGAGCCTGAGCAGTGTAGACGGGGAAGGCACACAAGCTGTGAGCGGGGGCAAACCCAGTGTGGCCCAGACACTGCGAGCACTCCCCACACACACCAGTCAGTGATATTTGCTTGCAGTGTTCCTCCCTCCCCGCAGCACAATTGAACAAGTGAGCCTAAGTGAATGACCACCTTGCCCTCTTGTGTCAAGGCGGGAGTTAGATACTGAAGAGGTTTGCAAACAGAGGAAGCCAAAATAAACAAGGAAGAGGGAACCACTTTGGAAGTGACAGGTGCAACAGATTAAAACCCTGTAGTTAGCACTGGCTACATTGGAAGGGACCTTTAGAACTTGAGAAGAAGTATAAGCTTGAAACTGAACTGACCCCACATTGCCCTCAACAACTCCAGAGAAATTCCTAGATATATTTTACTATTATCATTTAAATTAAAAAATTTAAGTTCTTTATTACTCCTTAATTTTTAGTTTTAAAACCAACTATTATCTTGAAAAAAAAAGACCCTATTTTTAAAGCAAATTTCATATATTTTAAAAATAACTTTTGTGATTTTGTTTTGCTTTTTTTAATATTGTATTTTTTTTTCAATTTGTTTCAATTGTTCATTAACGGACCAGATTACAAAAACAATCCTGGTAGATACCTTAGTTCATCCTTCTAATAAGCCTGTTGATCTGGTCTTCCCTGTTGCCAGCATCTCCACCTTCTACAAAATGGGTGGTCTTTTTCTTCATTCCACCTCGTGGAGAAGCCAATTTAAAGGGCCACAGGGAGTTGTTTGCTTCTTTGAAACGTTTTCCAACGGTATAGATCTCATGAATCAGATCCTCCATGCAGATGATTCTGTATTTCCCAAGAGATCAAGCAATCAATGCATTGTCTGTCAGGGCAATTCACTTTTTGTTGATTTTTCCATAACCACGCTTGTAGATCAGTTCATTTAAAGACATCAGATTTGGGTACCCCCATGCAATGTATGGCCCCACAGTTCCCAGCATGTTAACTGATGCCTTGTTGAGCTTCACAAAGGTGCCATTGAAGATCTGCCGGAGGCGAAGGAACTGCACCTTTCGAACCTTCGGGCTCACACCGTTGACACCTCTGATCCTGATGACAAATGCCAACTTGCGTTCCGCGGGTACATGGAAGTTGCCAGCTTTTCGTGCCATCCTAGCCATTCGAATTTCAGTTCTGTACATCTGCCTGTATTCCTTGTGGTAATGTGTAGCTCTTTTATAAATAAGCTTCCTCCTTGCCTTTTGAAGCATCTTTTGGGCAAACTTCTTTCTCAGGCACTTGATCTTAAGCTCTGCAAAATTATTTTGCTTTTTCTTAAGGGTTTCTGGCACAGCAGGAATCTTCTTTTTCTTCTCTTCTGCACCTTCTTCTCTTCTGCATCCTGGTTCCAGCCAGGAAAGAGCTTAATATTGTGTTTTTGAGAATCTAACCTCTACTCTGGAATTTTAATCTTTGCATTTTGATATTTGTTATCAATTTTGTACATTTAAGAATACAGTCTTCAGTACCCATTTTTACTTAGGAGTGTGATTACTGTCTTGATTGCTCTATCCCCTTTTGACTCTCCTTTTTCTCGCCCAGGTCACCTCTATCTCCTCCCTCCCCTTTTCTTCTCTAAAACCTCCATGAATCTCTTTGGGTGTTCCAGACCGTGGAGAGCAAATAAGCAATTGATTACTGGCTAAATTGCTCTCTCCCCTTTTGATTCTCCCTGTTCTCCTCCTGGTCACCTCTATCTCCCTCCTCACTCTTCTCTTCTCCATGTAACTCTGTGAACCTCCCTGGGTGTCCCTCACTGTGGAGAATCTTTTCACCATTAATCTAGATGTTTTATCATTGGTGCTATATGGATGGAGAAGTCTTGAGGCTACTGTAAGAATAAGAATGGAAAGCCAGAGGCAGATGGCTTAAGTTCAAAACTTGAGAACGCAGGAAACTCCTGACTCCTGGGAACATTAATTGACAAGTGCTCATCCAAAAGCCTCCATACCTAGAGAAAACCAAGCTCCACCCAAGAGCCAACAAGTTTCAGAGCAAGACATACCAAACTAATTCTCCAAAAAAGCAGGAACATAACCCTGAGCATGAAAATACAGGTGGCCAAAAGTCACAGCAAACCCATAGACACCTCAAAACTCACTACTGGACATTTTGTTGCACTCCAGAGAGAAGAGATCCAACTCCACACACCAGAACACAGACACAAGCTTCCCTAACCAGGAAACCTTGACAAGCCACTCATCAAACCCCACCCACAGGAGGAATCTCCACAATAAAGAAGAACCACAAACTTCCAGCATACAGAAAGGCCACCTCAAACACAGCGACCTAAACAAGATGAAAAGGCAGAGAAATATTCAGCAGGTAAAGAACATGATAAAAGCCCACCAAACCAAACCAAAGAGGAGGAGATGGGGGTCTGTCTGAAAAAGAATTCAGAATAATGATATTAAAAATGATCCAAAATCTTGAAAACAAAATGGAGTTACAAATAAATAGTCTGGAGACAAGAACTGAGAAGATGCAAGAAAAGTTTAACAAATCCCTAGAATAATTAAAAAGGAGTTAATCAATAATGAATAATGCAATAACTGAGATCAAAAGCACTCTGGAGCGAACCAACAGTAGAATAAAGGAGACAGAAGACAGGATAAGTGAGGTGGAAGATAGAATGGTGCAATAAATGAAGCAGAGAAGAAGAAAGAAAAAAGAATTAAAAGAAATGAGGACAACCTCAGAGACCTCTGGGACAATGTTAAATGCCCCAACATTCAAATCACAGGAGTCCCAAAAGAAGAAGAAAAAAAGAAAGGCCATGAGAAAATACTTGAGGAGATAATAGTTGAAAATTTCCCTAAAATGGGGAAGGAAATAGCCATCCAAGTCCAAGAAACACAGAGAATCCCAAATAGGATAAACCCAAAATGAAACACCCCAAGATACATATTAATCAAATTAATGAAGATCAAACGTGAAGAGCAAATATTAAAAGCAGCAAGGGAAAGACAACAAATAACTCACAAGGGGATTCCCATAAGGATAACAGTTGATCTTTCAATAGAAACTCATCAAGCCAGAAGGGAATGGCAGGACATACTTAAAGTGATGAAAGAGAAAAACCTACAACCCAGATTACTATACCAGCAAGGATCTCATTCAAATATGAAGGAGAAATCAAAAGCTTTACAGACAAGCAAAAGCTGAGAGAATTCAGCACCACCAGACCAGCTCCTCAACAAATGCCAAAGGATCTTCTCTAGACAGGAAACACAGAAAAGGTGTATAAACTCGAACCCAAAACAACAAAGTAAATGGCAATGGGATCATACACATGAATAATTACCTTAAATGTGAATGGGTTGAATGCCCCAACTAAAGACAAAGACTGGCTGAATGGATACAAAAACAAGATCCCTATATATGCTGTCTACAAGAGACCCACCTCAAATCTAGGGACACATACAGACTAAAAGTGAAGGGCTGGAAAAAGATATTTCACACAAATGGAGACCGAAAGAAAGCAGGAGTCACAATACTCATATCAGATAAAACAGACTTTGAAATAAAGGCTGTAAAAAGAGACAAAGAAGGACACTACATAATGATCAAAGGATCAATCCAAGAATATATAACAATTATAAATATATATGCACCCAACAGGGAGTACTGCAATATGTAAGGCAAATGGTAACAAGTATGAAAGGAAATTAACAGTAATACAGTAATAGTGGGAGACTTTAATAGCCCACTCACACCTATGGATAGATCAACTAAACAGAAAATTAACAAGGAAACACAAACTTTAAATGATACAAGGGACCAGTTAGACCTAAGTGATATCTATAGGACCCCGAAAAAATGAATTTCACCTTTTTTCAAGTCAGAACCTTCTCCATGATAGATCACATCCTGGGCATTAATCAGGTCTTGGTATATTCAAAAAAATTGAAATCACCTCAAGCATCTTTTTTCATCACAGTGTGGTAAGATTAGATGTCACCTACAGGAAAAAAAGCTATTAAAAATACAAACATATGTAGCCTAAACAACACAATTCTGAATAACCAACAAATCAGAAAAGAAATCAAAAAATAAATCAAAATATGCATAGAAATGAATGAAAATGAAAACACAACAACTCAAAACCTGTGGGATTCAGTAAAAGCAGTACTAAGGGGAAGGTTCATAGCAATACAAACCTACCTCAGGAAACAGGAGAAAAATCAAATAAATAACCTAATTGTACAACTAGTGAGAAATAGATTTAAGGGACTGGATCTGATAGACAGAGAGCCTGATGAACTATGGACAGAGGTTCATGACATTGTACAGGAGACAGGGATCATGACCATCCCCATGCAAAAGAAATGCAAAAAGGCAAATAGTTGTCTGAGAAGGCCTTACAAATAGCTGTGAAAAGAAGAGAAGTGGAAAGCAAAGGAGAAAAGGAAAGATTCCCATTTGAATGCAGAGTTCCAAAGAATAGCCAGGAGAGATAAGAAAGTCTTCCTCGGTGATCAATGCAAAGAAATAGAGGAAAACTACAGAATGGGAAAGACTAGAGATCTCTTCAAGAAAATTAGAGATACCAAGGGCACATTTCACACAAAGATGGGTTCGATAAAGGACAGAAATGGTATGGACCTAACAGAAGCAGAAGATGTTAAGAAGAGGTGGCAAGAATACACAGAAGAACTGAACAAAAAAGATTTTCATGACCCAGATAATCACAATGGTGCGATCACTCACCTAGAGCCAGACATCCTGGAATATGAAGTCAGGTGGGCCTTAGAAGGCATCACTATGAATAAAGCTAGTGGATGTGATGGAGTTACAGTTGACCTATTTCAAATCCTGAAAGATGATGCTGTGAAAGTGCTGCACTCAATATGCCAGCAAATTTGGAAAACTAAGCAGTGGCCACAGGACTGGGAAAGGTCCGTTTTCATTCCAATCCCTAAGAAAGGCAATCCCAAAGAATGCTCAAACTACTGCACAATTGCACTCATCTCACACGCTAGTAAAGTAATGCTCAAAATTCTCCAAGCCTTCTATGCAGAGTTCATGAGAAATGCTGGGCTGGAAGAAGCACAAGCTGGAATCAAGATTGCTGGGAGAAATATCAATAACATCAGATATGCAGATGACACCACCCTTACGGCAGAAAGTGAAAAATAACTAAAGAGCCTCTTGATGAAAGTGAAAGAGGAGAGTGAAAAAGTTGGTTTAAAGCTCAACATTCAGAAAACTAAGATCATGGCATCTGGTCCCATCACTTCATGGAAAATAGATGGGGAGACAGTGGAAACAGTGTCAGACTTTATTTTTTTGGGCTCCAAAATCACTGCAGATGGTGATTTCAGCTTATTCCTTGGAAGGAAAGTTATGACCAACCTAGATAGCATATTAAAAAGCAGAGACATTACTTTGCCAACAAAGTTCCATCTAGTCGAGGGTATGGTTTTTCCAGTGGTCATGTATGGATGTGAGAGTTGGACTGTGAAGAAAGCTGAGCGCTGACAAATTGATGCTTTTGAACTGTGGTGTTGGAGAAGACTCTTGAGAGTCCCTTGGACTGCAAGGAGATCCAACCAGTCCACCCTAAAGGAGATCAGTCCTTGGTGTTCATTGGAAGGACTGACGCTGAAGCTGAAACTCCAATATTTTGGCCACCTCATGCAAAGAATTGACTCACTGGAAAAGACTCTGATGCTGGGAAGGATTGTGGGCAGGAGGAGAAGGGGATGACAGAGGATGAGATGGTTGGATGGCACCACCGACTCAATGGGCATGAGTTTGAGTAAACTCTGGGGGCTGGTGATGGACAGGGAGGCCTGGTGTGCTGTGATTCATGGGGTCGCATAGAGTTGGACACGACTGAGCAACCGAACTGACTGACTGACTGACAGCTAAAGTAACTAGAATGAGAAGAAATGAAGCACCGCAGGGTTAGTAGAAGGAAAGAAATTATAAAAATTAGGGCAGAAATAAATGGAAAAGAAACAAAGGAGACCATAGCCAAAATCAACAAAGCCAAAAGCTGGTTCTTTGAGAAGATAGAAGGAACATACCTCAACATAATAAAATCCATATATGATAAACCCACAGCAAACATTATCCTCAATGGTGAAAAATTGAAAGCATTTGCCCTAAAGTCAGGAACAAGACAAGGATGTCCACTCTCACCACTACTATTCAACATAGTTTTGGAATTTTTAGCCACAGTAATCAGAGAAGAAAAAGAAATAAAAGGAATCCAGATTGAAAAAGAAGAAGTAAAACTCTCACTGTTTGCAGATTACATGATCCTCTACATAGAAAATCCTAAAGACAGCACCAGAAAATTACCAGA